ATCTTCAAATCCCTTCCTGAGCTGGACGATCGTTTTTACTAAAGAAAGAGGTAAGAGCAATTGAAGATACATACCTTCCCATCCCCAATCTTCGTGGGTCTCCTGATCCTGGGTCCCTCCCTATTGCCTCCCCGCCATTTGCCTCGCTTCCTTCCAATTTGTACCTTGGTTGATGTCACTTGTTGTATGGGGTAAATCGCAGCTTCCCTTGCCCACAACATTCCCCTCCCGCTCTCTTCCCGTAGCCACCCCCACGATGTCTTGAACCCCCCTCCCTTATCTTCCTTTTCGTTCTTGACCCCTCGCTACTTGCTTCTTGTCCTTTTCACCCTTACTGACCGATCGTTCTCCCTCAGTATACTGCAAGTACACCTCTCGTTGTTTCAGACTGCCTCCGATCGGCCTTCCTAAATCGCAACCCACGACGAGTGTGACTTCCGTCATTTCCAACATTCTCTACTCCCTCCGAAGCGGACCTTTTTGATCCCATACACTTGCCTGTATACCTAATACCCGTCGATCTTACGTCTGAAAAGATGGATCAGCAGGGTCAATCCGGGGTTCCCGGCCCCGCGGGGCGCAAGCTCCATATCGCCCACAGAAGAAGCCCGTCTGAATTGACCCCTCTCATGAGTAAGTGAATGCCGGCCCCATATCTGTGTAACATATCTTCTGTGAATCGATTACTGACGATGGTGGGAACAGTGGAGCAACTCGCTATTCAGCAACAGATTGAGCTTCTTCAACAGCAACAGCAGCAAATTGCAGCTACACATCAGCAGTACGTCAACATGGGATTGTTACAACCACAACAGCTTGGTCAGGTTTCGGCATTCTCGCCTTCTCTTCAAGGTGGTGCTTCCATGGGAGGCGTTTCCCCTCAGTTGAATGCATTCCAATTCCCACAAATCGCTCAACAGCAGCTTGGCGTGCCGATGAACACCTCAACCCAACACTCGCACCGGCGCAATCAGTCTGCCCTGCCCGGTCTCGGCATGGGTCCCCCTCCCGCCCCGTCCTCGGGAGCTTCGGGTTATACCGACTACAGCCAGCAGCAACAGGGTCACCAACCCAAGAATGAGAACGGCGGCCATGGGCGCGGACGAGGCGGTCCTCCCGGTGGTGGCCACCAGCGGCGTCACTCGCTTGCGCTTCCTGAAGCCAAGAAGGCCGCGGAACTGGCCCAGCAGAAGCGGACGGCCTCCGGCTTCCAGTTCCCCGCACCCAGTACCCCTGGCGACTCTGATACCACTCCGGGCGCTGACGATAAGTCAACCCCTACCTCACAGACCCCACAAGGCTTGGGCCTTCACCGAGCCGGTAACATTCGGGCGGGTGGTCATGGTCGCAGCCAATCCATGGCTGTGGGTGGAAACCGCGGTTCTTTGTCTGGTCGCGGTGCTGGCGGCTTCCAATTCCCTCAAGCTAGCGAAGGCGAGAATCAGCGTCGCGGCAGCCAACCGGGTCACGCACGGTCTTCGTCCAGAAACTTTGATGGTAATTGGCGGCAGCCCAACAATCAAAATCAGGGCCAGGATCAGCCCAAGAGCTTCGGTCAACAGAGCGGAGGTTTCCAGCCTGGCCACCGTGCCCGTGCATCAATGAACCAGTCCATTGGCTCGATTGGATCTTTCCAGTACCCGCAACAGCCCCAGCTCATTCAGCTGCCCCAAGGCCAGGTGGTCATGGCCCCACCACAGATGTTTGGCGGTGGTCAGCAACTCAACCCTCTCCAGCTTGCACAGCTTCAAGCCCTGCAGCAGAATGGACAGCTGAACGGCCAAGGTCTTGGTCTTCAAGCTAGTCAACATGCCCCGCCACAGCTGTCTGCCCAGCAGCAGCAACAGCAGCAGCAGCAGCAGCGCAAGACCCTCTTCACTCCTTACTTGCCCCAGGCAAACCTGCCTGCGCTGCTGAGCAATGGCCAATTGGTTGCTGGTATTCTGCGCGTGAACAAGAAGAACCGTTCCGATGCCTACGTAACCACTCCAGACCTGGACGCAGATATTTTCATCTGTGGTAGCAAAGATCGTAACCGTGCCCTTGAGGGTGACTTTGTTGCCGTTGAGCTGCTGGATGTGGACGAAGTGTGGTCGCAGAAGAAAGAGAAGGAGGAGAAGAAGAAGCGCAAGGATATTACGGAAGCTCGTGCCGGCAGCAGTGCTGGGGGTGACAAGCTGTCTCGGTCTGACTCTGGCACCAACGGAGACCGTCAGGAGGTCGGACCGGATGGTAGCATCCGTCGCCGTGGCAGTCTTCGCCAGCGGCCCACCCAGAAGAAGAACGACGATGTCGAAGTCGAAGGTCAGAGCCTTCTCTTGGTTGAAGAAGACGAAATCAGTGACGAGCAGAAGCCACTGTATGCGGGCCACATCGTGGCTGTTATCGAGCGCATTGCGGGGCAGATGTTCTCGGGAACACTTGGTCTCCTCCGTCCCAGTAGCCAGGCGACGAAGGAGAAGCAGGAGGCCGAGCGGCTGGCCAGAGATGGTGGCCACGGCCGTCAACAACAGGAACGCCAGCAGGACAAGCCTAAGATCGTGTGGTTCAAGCCTACTGACAAGCGTGTTCCTTTGATTGCTATCCCAACAGAGCAGGCTCCTCGGGATTTCGTTGAGAAGCACCAAGAGTACGCCAACCGCATCTTCGTTGCATGCATCAAGCGGTGGCCAATCACTTCCCTGCACCCCTTTGGTACTCTTGTCGAGCAGCTTGGAGAGATGGGCGACCTGAAGGTGGAGACTGAAGCCCTTCTTCGAGACAACAACTTCGGTTCTGATGAGTTCTCCGATGCCGTGCTCAAGAGCATTGGATGGGATGACTGGTCCGTTTCCAATGAGAACGAGGCTGTCCTGGCCACTCGTCGCGATTTTCGTCAGGAAACTACTTTCACCGTCAACCCCAGCGGTACCAAGGAACTTGACAATGCCTTCCATATCAAGCCTCTTGCCGATGGAAAGGTGGAAGTTGGTATTCACGTCACTGACATTGCCCACTTTGTCAAAGCCAACTCCCTGGTTGACCGTGAGGCCAAGAAGCGGGGAACTGCTGTCTATCTCATGAACCGCCTCGTGAACATGCTACCCACGCGTGTCTCCAATGAGCTTTGCGCTTTGCTCCCCGGCGAAGACCGCTTCACGGTTAGCGTTACGTTCAAAGCTGACCCCGAGACGGGTGCTATCGACGATGATGTCTGGATCGGTAAGTCGATCATCAAGAGCTCCGGTCGACTGAGCTATGATGAGGTCGATGCCGCAATTCAGGGCACCTCTGCCCTCGCGGTCCCTGGCATCACTGCCGACACTCTCAAAGCGTTGTACGCTGTCACGTCAAAGTTCAGAGAAGCAAGGCTCGGCAACCGGGTCTCTCGTATTCCTCCTCTTCGTCTGCTGTATCAGCTGGATGACGAAAATGTGCCCGTTGAGCACAACATCTTCCACTCTTCCCCTGTCCGGGAGCTTGTGGAAGAGCTTAGCTACAAGGCCAACTTCCTAGTAGCTCGCAAATTGGTCACTGCCTTGCCTGACAAGGCCTTCCTGCGTCGCCAGATGTCGCCAAACCCTCGTCGTCTCCACCTCTTTGTTGAGCGGATGAACAAGCTTGGCTACGGTCTGGATGCGACCAGCAGTGGAACTTTGCAGAGCAGTCTCTGCCAAGTTCAGGATGATGACTTGCGTAAGGTCAGTTTTGTTCTCATATCACAAAATAAAGCTATTGTTTCGGTCTGCTAACAATAAGTGCAGGGTATGGAGACTATTCTGCACAAGGCTATGCAACGTGCGAAGTACTATGTGGCCGGCAGTGTACAGGATGATCAGCGTCAGCATTACACTTTGAACCTGCCAGTGTACACTCATTTCACCAATCCTTTCCGCCGCTACGCAGACATTGTCGTTCATCGCCAGCTGGAAGCCGTCCTGTCTGATGGTGTGGTTGAATTCTCCGATGACTTGGAGTCATTGACCAAGACCGCCGACCTCTGCAACAACAAGAAGGATTCCGCCCACAATGCTCAAGAACAGAGCGTTCACATCGAAGCATGCAGAAGCATGGACAAGGAGCGACAGGAAGTTGGTGGTGACCTCATTAGCGAGGGTATTGTGATCTGTGTATACGAGTCCGCCTTCGACGTTCTGATCCCAGAGTACGGCTTCGAAAAGCGGGTCCACTGCGATCAACTGCCCTTGAAGAAGGCTGAGTATCGCAAGGACACACGTGTGCTGGAGCTCTACTGGGAGAAGGGCGTGCCGTCCTCGGCTTATGTTCCTGAGGATGAGCGGCCCAAGCCTGCGAACTCTCGTGCGGCACAAGCTGCAGCTGCAGCACGTGAAGCAGAAGCTGCCAGAGAACGTGCCCGGGAGCGCGAAGAAGCTATGCGGAGACAGACGGATACCGGCACCATGTCCCATGACGACGTCAATGCTCTGTTTGACGACGATGACGATGATGTTTCTGAAGTCACCGAGATGGCTGCAGGCGTGTCACTGAATTCGTCTGCCGACCGTTCGACTCAAAGCATGCCACCTTCGCCCACTCGCAATGGCCATCTTCAGCAGGCGCCTCACCGCACGCGTTCTGACCCGAAGATCGCAACGCTCAGTGGCGATGCTCCTGAAGCTAAACTGACAAACAAGGAGAAATACCTGCGGCTGTTCAAGCTCAGGGAAGAAGATGGAGAATACATCCAGGATGTCACCGAGATGACCCGTGTCCCTATCATCTTGAAGACCGACTTGAGCAAGAGTCCCCCGTAAGTGCTGTCTTCGTTTTTGTTGCGATTCATCATGATTCGTGCTGAAAGCTAACGTGTGCCTGCAGATGCCTCACTATTCGTTCTGTCAACCCCTACGCGTTGTAGATGAGCCAGAAATATTCACTTCTTCGGATGTGTTCTATACGTTTGCGAAACAGATCTTGGTCTTTGCTTGGTGGACCATCAGGGTGGTAGTGTGATGGTGTGACCGCACGGCTCGATTCTATCAAACACTGCCTCAACTGGTTCACGCATGCATAGTCGCCAACCTCTCATTCCTCTGCAGAAGTATGCTTTAATCGACTTAGCGTGTTGTCTTTTTTATCTTATAATTGCTGGAGGCCTTACAAGCCAAACGGTGGATCTCTTGTTCCGAGTTGTTTTCAAATTAGTCCCGCGATATGGCCTCATGGAGGAGGAGCTCCAGATAACCAATTGTGGAGTATACCGGTCTTCTAGCAAGGCTTTCGGATTTAGGCACGAGCCATTTGGTGGCAGAGAAGATCAGAAGACCGGAGAGTGGAATGATGAGACGAGGTTCTTTATCAACTGCACGGAGGTGAAGTCGGATGCGAGGGTTGCCTCGGAAAATTTGTCTATTCATCCTAGATATTTGCATAGCTCATTACTACCAAGTTGTTTGATCATTTTTGGCACAGGCCAGTAGGTGATACGATGTAGTCCAACTAAGCATGAGACCATAATAGTACCGTCTTAGCATCGTAATTGATCCACATAGCTAATGTCAGCTCCGATCAACTAAGAGTGCTCAATGCGGAGTGTGCCACCAAGTCCTCTATCGATCTCAACTAGTGAACAATAGCATACAAAGTAACAACCGCATGCCACGGAAATCCATAATTAATCGACAGACACAATACACCGAAGTAGAGAAGAGAATGACCATTGAAAGACCCTAAAGCTAACCAATTGGCAAGCATAATAATACCTACATAACCGTGTGAGGTTGAAAATTGATAAGATAATCTAGTATCTGTTCTATTTTCATTTTATCATAAGCTAGCCGGTCATACCTAGTGTTTAAACAAGGAAAGAATTGATCAAAAGGGAAAAGATTGGTAACGTATTTATTGTACTGATCCATCCAATGCACGATCGTTGGCCTTGGTGTATGGTCATGCTATGTTTGAATATGGCTATGCCTATGCCTATGAAAGCAGCAAAGAAGTGTACGGTACATGCCGTGAGGATATGCAAAAGGGCAAGAAGCTATGCCTGGTAATCTAATCAATGTGATAGAAGAAAGAAGGAGGTATCCATTTCCTTCATCGAAGTTGTTTTCGTTGCACGTGATGACACTGGAGGTTGTCTTGAATGAATCCAGTTAAGAAATGTAATGCACGTAGTATTTGTGTTCATGAGTGGTTGTGGCTATGTTCGTTTGGGTATTAAACGGTGGTAGTGGTATGGTATATGTAGTGAGGTAGCGGGAAGAGATTAGAAAGAGGGTATTCAGAAGATACAGGCGTGGGTATAAGTAACAGTGGTGGTGGTTATTAAGCTTAGAGTCTGCGAATGCCGATCCGAGGTTTGGCTTTCTTGCCATTCGACGACGAGACTTTGCGTGATCCAAAGATTGGTTTTGATAGGCCCGAGCCGGAGGAGACGGATCTCGATGCTGAGGGGGCAAGGATCGTGGGGGGATTGCTTGGATTAGACGTCCGGATGGCGGGGTCGGTATCTTTCAATCCGGCTAAGGCTCGGGGATTTTCCTTGCCGTCACCGCTGGCTCGCCTGATGAAGCCTAGCTCAGCAGGGTCGGGATCGTCTTCGAAGATCTGGACATCTTCGCGTATCCGGCCTGATGAGTTGATGCCTTTGTCGAGTACGGACAGCTTCGGGGACTTTCTCTGCGGGGAGTGGCCGCGTTCTGGGAGGTCACTAGGGTGGTTTGCTGCGATGTTCTTCTCGGATGCGGACATGCCGTCTATTGTTGTTTCTTCTGTGCCCATGGCGAAGGGATCGTCCACGTCCATGGGCATGGTTAGGACGGAAAGGGGGCGTTTCCCGAAAGCGTTCTTGCGGATGCTAGGTGGTGCGAGTCGGACTGGGGAAGGAGATAGGGAAGGGTCGTTCTCTTTACTGGCGTTGGTAGATGTTTCTGATTCACTGTCGGAGACGGTCGTATCAAGGGTAAGGGTGTCATGAGGTTCCTCTGGTTGCTGTGCTTCTTGTTCAATAGGTGTGCTGGGCTGATGCGAATATGCTCGTAAGCTTGAGCTCTCTTCAGCGCTTCTCCGAGTAGTTCGCTTTTTCATAGTAACTGAGGCGATTCTGGCTCCCTTCCGTGGTCGTAGTGAGCGGGACGGTATTTGCTCTTCGGGGATGACTGTGTCGGCGTCTTCGCCTCTTGTTTTCGCCTCGGATACTGCTGACGCTAACTCTGATGGAACGGGAGCGTGGATGGAGGTCATTAGTTTCGCTTGGCGGGCGAATGCATCGTAGTTCTCTTGGAGAAGTGCGCCGGCTGCGGAATTCAGTGCGGAGTCTGGGTTGGGATATATGAGGAGGCAAGAGATTGTCTAAACATGTCAGATGAAGATCCGCAATCGTCGACTGCATATGGTAGGGATACATACAATCAAAACGTCCTTCAAGGTCAAGTTGGGCTTCCAGTCCCGCTTCAGTGTATCCACGCAGACCGCACCCGTCGATTCCTCCACATTCGGATGCCATATCCTTGTCCTGAATGTTGCCTTTGGTGGGCTCTTGGGGTAGTCCTCCGGCATCTTCAGATGCAATCGCCATAGGCCTTGCGAGTATGGTGTACCCTGTGGCCCGGCCAGGAGAGTGGTGAGCTGTGTTAAGTCGTCCCCGGCAGAGGCATCGTCGGAGGGAAAGAGATAGTTGGGAGGAAGTTCTTCGTGCAACGCTGCATGGTCCGCTGCGAGACGTCGTAGAGATGATACCTGTAGGGGAAACACGAGGATGTCAGACGATCGTCGCTCAACCGGGAAAAACTCAATTGGCATCAAATAGCAAGGTAACTTACCATACTGGCTAATTGACGTCGACCTCAAATTTGAGGCCGAAGGCGTTGCGTTGCTAGCAGAGGTTAGGTTCGTTTGGAACCAATTGTTGTGCCGTGGTCTGTTCGTCCAGCTGCCCCTGTCGATCTAGGCGAGTGACACGGACGAGAATCCCTTTGTGGACCGTGAGAGCTCGGCAGAACGATAGATGATTCGCAGCAAGGTGGATGATGATGGCTCGGTCCCGATCCGTTGCCCCCGACGGCCGCTTGTTGTTCTTTGTTTTGATGAGGTGAAGCGCTGGCGACTAGTCCACATCGGGTAAGGAAACAGCGCGCGTGGATCAGTCACGTGTATTCGCGTCTGAATTGCGCGTTTTAGGAAATGTAATGAGCTGCTTACAGCATAGCCGCCCGATAACTAACTAACTAGTTAAATAGTTATAACGTATTGTTCACCACCATGCTGGAGCATCGAGAAAGGACTGCAGATTTGAGCAGCGTGTTTAGCAGATGGAAACTGCCACTGTAGCCTGTCTGTTAGATAAAGGAAACTGGCGGATCTGGCCCAACAAGGCTAACAGGCAAGAAGGAGAACGCAAGATCGGTTTTGAACCCGAAGCTAGGGGCAAAAAAACATAGCTCCGATCACCTCGTATACAGCACCATCTCCCCGGAGCACTTTCAGTAATGCAGTGCCTGTTGAAGCATTCATCGTAGCCAAGCGCTTCACCAGATCCTCTGCCGCCTACATGGCCTTCCTACCCTCTTATATCTCCTATGTTGAGGAGCTCGATAATCTAGATAACCACAAATCTAGCCCTATATCTTGATACCGTGACAGTAACCGCTTGCTCGAACTTTCTTTATATGCTTCCACTTCCCCCTTTCACATCTTGAAAGGCAGGTAGAGTACACCTAGAGTATACACCCGTCTTTGTTTGATCTGTAGCTACTATGAGTGATGTAACTTCGCAAGCCATTATGGTATAGTTCCTTTTTAAGCTAAACAACCGTATACAACGATCTTTGGACCGTCTCATGGTAATAGAAGCACAGGACTATTCACCTGATTACATATTCGTGACTTCCACTATAAGCTAATGCTTCGAAGGTGAAAGGGATAGACACCAAGGCACCAAGGTGGCTGGGTGGCCTGAGGGCTTGGTTCCAGCAACTACGTGCAATGCATAATAGGTTCTAGGCATCTGAAAGTCCATCTTTCGAGGCCATGTTGGTCTATTGGAGCAGAAATAGAGGTCACTGAACTTGAGCGTGAGTCAAACATCAGGCCCAGGAAGTGACTAATGAATGCTTCGGGGGCGCAGTAGTATGACAAAGCACGTGAGACTTACAATACGGAAACGCGGCCGTTTAAAGGCCTCTATAACGGTTGGTTTCGGAATGACATTTAGGATAGTTCCTTTCAGGGTGGCGCAAGACTTGTCAATGCCTAGATCTGGGGTTAGTGGATAGGCTCAAGCCCTCGCCATGAACGGTAGGTCCCATAATTGACGCTCTATGTCCGACTCAGGATCTGGGGTTTAACGTTCTAGGTCGATTGCTTGCTGTTCCTCCAAATTAAGCTCGCACTACTTCAGGCTTACAAGTGGTTGGATTTGAAATGAAAGGGGCAGTCTCGGCATTCCAGAAATCCCTGTGTAATGTGTGTATTTACCATGTCCTCATTAAACGATTAAAAATTACTAGAGAAATGAAATCTTATGTGCGCCGCAGTTATGAATCTCTGGTGAACACGCGGTGAGCCTTTGAAAGGAAGATCCAAAACAGAATAAAAGCCTTCCCAGCAATGTTACATATGTCAGAAGAAGAAAAACCGCAGAACATCCATCCCCTTTGATTTCATAGCGCCTCTTTCTTGCGGCTTAGAGTGGATGGAAGGTTCGATCGCCATGGGTATCTGCTGTTCCCCACCAGAGTGGGGTGTGTGACGGTCGAGACTCGACTCCATCTAAGGGCAAGGAAGAGCACTTGCGCTCTTCATTTACAGAAAAGCGGCGAGGGCAGCACCAGCCACGACGGAAAGACCGACGGGGCCAGCGGTAGCGAGGGGGACACCAGCGCCAGAAGAGGTGCTGGAGCTGGAGCTGGAACCGCTCTTGGACGAAGAGTCACTGGTGGAGGTGGAAGAGTCGGAGCTGGAGGTCTTGGTGGAGGTCTTGGTGGAAGTGGAAGCAGAGGCGCTGGCCGACTTCGCGAAGGAAGAGGGAACACCGCTAGATCCAATGAGGACGCTGGAAGCACCAGCAGGCAGAGAGCCCTGAGTGGGGATCACAGGGGAAGAGGTGACAGCAGCGGAGGGCTGACCCTGGGGCTAGGGTTATGTTAGCAGGTTGTTCTCTGACATGAGGACCAACTATCAAAAGAATATTCTTACCACAGCAACGGAGGACTGAGCAGCGGCCAGAGCCGAGAAAGCGACGAGGAGGATGGAAGAACGCATCTTGCTAGCGAGTGATAATCGAGATCTGAGTGCTCGGTGGTAAATTGAAGAAGTGGATCGTGCGGAGGCGATCGGTAGACTAGCGAGTGTCTTTGAGGTGAAGAGGTGAAGCGAAAGTTGTTGAGGTTCGTGAAACGACCGTGGGGGATGCTTTATATCAGTTGGGGAAGAAGGGAAAGGGACGCAGTGGTTGACAGGCGCAGGGGCATCCTTTAAATAGAGTAAAGCAGGGGAGTGGAAAGAGAGGATTCGAGCCAAAAAATTATAAATTAGGAATAAAAAAATAATAATAAAATTAAGACAAAAAGCAATTGCAGGACAACAGGTGCCATTCATCCCTCTGCAATCCCCATCAGCCCTGTCTGCACACCTTTCACAACCTCCTCGTCTACACTCCTAGTGGCAATGGGAGGGAAAGGGATCCACTGGGCGAAGGGCAGCATCAGCAGCTCGGTCCGCGTCTCGCATTTTCTGGATGAGTCTGAGTCGCTGCCCGTGGCTGAGAGGGCGGGACGAGCCAGCGTCGAGCGTGCAGGGCGATGCTGGAAAGACCAGTGCCAAGGCGTACTGGAGAGTAAACAATCATCAGATGGCGCAACTCCAGTGCCCCAAGTCGGACTAATTGCAGGCAAAGACGGGCCACTAGTCCAGTTAGTCAGCATTCTGAATGGCCTCCTCCGCAAGAGGGTTGCGTATACCTCTGACTCTTTTTTGCTATTTTTGGGGAGGCCATCGGAACACAGCGTCAGCTGCCGCGATCCACTCCTGCTGCGGGCGCCCCGCCCAATGATGGTCGTGTCCTATAGATCTACACGCCTGGAGCCACCGCGGTTGGTTCGAATAATGTGAATGCAACCTGAGTTCAATCTGGCCCTTGACCAAAGCGGGAAAGGAGAAATTAATGGGGGTGGGAGAAACGCAAAGGAAAATAGAAGCCCAGTCTCTCAATTCCTCTTGTTCATCTGTTTTTTGAGTTTAATGGACCACTGATCAAATATCTATTAAGGGATATCTCCTGTGTCTGATTCTCATTCTAACCCTGTTTGAGAAGTTTCAAGCCTAGACTTAAGAGAGCAAATGGTACAAAATATCTAGTCAAGTAAAACTATAGAGGGAAAAATAGACGTTAGACAGTCACAGCACCACTGAAGGGGCGGGCCTTCACCCTTCCCACTAAATCTTTAGATTACTGGAGTCACCCATCCTTAGGGCCGCTCTGGCATGCGCACCACCGGCCCGCATGGACCAGCCCAATTGGCAAATTGAGAAATTGAGAAGAAAAAAAAAAAGGCAAAGAGACTATTCAAGTTTTAACGCACGAAGCATGCCTGCCACCGCATGAATGCCTTGTCCTATCCTGTCCTGTTCTTGCCCAGCCACGCATTCAAAGCTTGTCATACGAGGCAGTACATCCGACCAGTCTAGCCTTCCATGGCCGTCAGGCACGCCACTTCGAAGAAGAACAACAACAACAACAGCTGACGGGTTTTACCGACAAACAAGTTGGTGAGATGGTTTGTAGTAAAGATACTGTAGCAACGGCAATACTTAACCGATAACAAGCCTCCATTACTGCTAGATCCTGCTTGTCCACGTAACAAACCATCAAAAGACGCATCATCCATCCATCCCAACCCTCACAATCGATACCTGACGTAAGATCATGACGAGCCCTTCGGCACCACCGCACAATAGAACGTGATTTGACCCCTGCATGGCTCGTCCTTTAAGCACTTCTACACACCTTTCATTCATTTTCGGTCGTCTTCCGGAGTACAGCCGATCCGGAAAAATAATTAACATCAACCATAAATAAGAGGCACAAGACTAGTTGGTAAATAGTATGGTTGACCTGCAAGATGCCAAGAGGGCAGTTGCTGTCTTGTCCTGTTCCTACATGAGCAAAGCGTACGTATGCAACCGATGCGAGGTGTGCATGGACCTGGGAAGTGTCGATCAATCCTTTCTGTCTTATTATTTTCTTCCTTCCTTTTCTTCCTTCCTTTTCTTTCTTTCTTTTCCCCGGCCCTCCTCCATTTAAGACATGGCACTAGGCCAGACCAGTCTACCGTAAGGTACTGCGGTATCAGGGGTCTTAAATCTCCGGTTCTCAAGAGGGTCGGATACGGACATTTTACTGAATTACCACCCGCGTGATGCAAGGGAAAAAGTGCCTCGCACACGTACTCCATACCTATCAACTGGGCAATAATAAACACTGAATTCATCCTCGACTCAACTTTACTTACCTCCCTCCCTCGTACAGGGATGAACATGACGCATGGCAGGCCACAAGGGTTAAGAAAGAAGGAAGGCTTCATTTACAATATTATCTAGGCGAGGCTAAGAATTCCACCGGGCTTTCTCTCTCTAACCCTGCCAATGCTCACCAGCCCCTCTCTCTATCCCGCCCTTGTCTCAATCTTAACCCTCGGACGCCATCTCCATCTCCCCCGTTATTTCGGTCGAGATTGAGACCCTCCCATTGGTGGGGCGCCACCAAATTGGGCACTGAATGAATACTATCCATAATGAGAATCAATCAATAAGTAGATGGCGCCAGCCTTTGAACTGTGATGTCCTTTCGGTGAAGACTCACATACACGTTACATAACAGGGTCCATGGCCCGGAGTTTTCTTTTCTTTGTCGTCGTTAAATAGTGTCTGTCTTCCCCCGTGAAGGCAGGGGAAAAGAAGCAAAAAGAGACCTATCGTTCTCGGGGTTACGGGGTAAGGCTGTAAGCGGTGGTTGGGTTACGTTGCTTTCCCTCATTATTGACTATTATTGCCCACCAATTTCCCCCGTCATCTAGACTACTAACTAGGCCCAGCCAGCAAAATGCTATTTAGAAAGGACTTGTCATCCTCATACTTGCACCTATAGATGACCACTAATAGATCTTCGTATTCATACCCACTTGGAACATCCATCATCTCCATCTCCGTTATTACTTCCATGACCATTAGATAATGCGTCATTAACCACTGTTGGATATTAGATCTAGACAAACCACTGTACGGAGTAGAGGTCTACGTTTACCCTCCATGTCACCGTGATATGTCTTACATTCAGGCCAGTCAGAAGGCCTGACCTTATGTGTGGTTGTGTTGTTATCCTCCTGCCCTTTCTCCGTGTCTTGCTTTAGACGTGCGCTTGTTTCTCTTCCCAACTAATCAAACCATCAACTTACCCCACCACCTCTCCTCGTTTACGAACTGCTAAAAAAACAAGTAAAATGACCCCTATTGGACATGTTTCTCACTTCCCGTCTTTAATGACTCGATTATCTGGTATAAGCCAAGACGGGCTGAAAGTTTGCGACACAGCGCCTTAAATAGAACCGGATGGAAAGTCCAAGATTGAGCACTGGAGTGTGTCAGGCAAGAGGGGTCCGAATTGCCTCACCACTTCCAGAATCATTATGAATGAGCAGATACTTACCCTCCCACTGCGACGGATGATTGACCTAACTATAAAATGCATGCGGAACATCATTCGCTGACTTACAATTCAATGATCTACTGACTCTTGCGTGGCCTTGCTCTCGTCACCTGCAGGACTAAAACTGAACGGTTGACTGAAATCAGAAAGTGAAGGCCGGCGATGCCTACCACGAGTCCGAAGACTATTTACTGCTTTTACTCAATGCCTACTTTGTCCACATCTACCAGACTGCACAACTACTTACCCTACCAGCAAGCAGCATCAACACAACATCAATTGTCAACGTTTGTCTACACCGATTACCCTACCCCATTGGTCTGCCGCGTCATCCCGCGCAAACTACTATATAAATCGGAAGGGGGAGAATTCTGCCACATCCAAGTCCGGACATAATTCCCGAATTCATTATTGATGACGATGCTCAACGCTCAAGAGATGACGATGTGGATGACAAGATCGATGGATGGACGCGTCGACATGTACGCGACTACTTGACACACATTTTGACTTACATGCCATCGCGTGTGCAGCGCATCTTCTGAATGAATGCCTACATCATTTCACTCCATCCCATCACAGCCACTTTATCTTGGATTCCGGGGCTAGAACGGGCCGTTCGACGGATGGACAACATTCCAGTCAAGATGGCGGATAATGGTCCGCGGGAGCTGGGGACGCGAAGAACGTGTTAATCTTATTGAAGAATTCTATATGACAGGGTTGGATATGCTGGATGTCATGGATGGATTTGATGACGATATACGCGTTGCAGCTTGGTATTCCGTGTTGAGGGAGCGTTTCTGGGCTATCCCACTTTCTTGCTCAAAGCGTAGAGAAATCCCGCAGGTAGGTAAGAGTGTAGAGGCTGATAACCTGGCCGTCACAATCAAGGAAATTGACGTGTCCGTGGTAGGTATTGTGTAGACCTAAACCTGTTCATTTCCAACATCTTCTCTGCCCCCGCCACTTTCGAGCGCTGCTCTGCGACAACTCGATTCATTTAGCCATAGATGCCTCAATGACTGACTGTACCATGCTCGCCCTTATACCATCCCGATATTCCACACCTAGACTCAGTAGTAAGTCACCAAGCCAAACAAGCACAGGGTTTGATATCAAGCCCTGTAAACCCATAAACACCCATTTCAATATACACCTCCAATACCACAAGCAATTGTATCAATCAACTATCTTTTCATTTCGAACCCATCAATCAATCAGTTAGTCAAAACGTACATATATAATACACCCATCCCACACCCATATCCCAACCAACCAACCAACCAACCAACCCAATCCCCTCCAACACTCATTCCTTAATAGGAACCTCCCCCTTCATCCAATCCGCAAACTCCTTTCTCTTAGCCTACCAACACATCAGCATACACACACTTATCCCACAACCCCAATTCCACAGATACTATCATGGAGAGGTAAAACTCACCCTAACATCCCAAAACCCATACCGCTCCTCCAACCTAAGATACGGATTCCTACCACCACCCTCACGCTCAATCTGACCCGCCCATTCACTCCAACTAATCGGCTTGAGTTTTTCAGCGCCGAGGACAAGCCCGGCCGAGACGAGGACTAGTGATGCGAGGGCCTCGATGACAATGTCGAGCGGGAGGGCGGTGCCTGCTGTGCTTGATGTGTTGCTGTAGAGGAGGGTGTGTTCGTGGGCGGAGTAGCCTCTATATATTGATATGTATTTTGTTAGCTGGGGGAGTTCTTCTTCAATGTGATTTTGCTTTGATATGGTGTGGTGTGGAGGGATCGATGTAGGTGGGTAGGTGTTCCAACGTACGCATGGGCGAGCAGGACGAGGCCGAAGAATGTGATGATGCGAGAGAAGAATCCCATCTTTTTTCTCTTTCTTCTTTTTTTCCCTTTCTTTCGCGATATTCTGAGGGATCGGGAATGAATGAGTATTAAGAAGGGTCCTGGTGTTGGATGGGGGGCCCGTGGTCGAGATTGGCTCGCTGGTGATCTTGGAGTCTATCAGTAGCTTGCTTACCTAGTTGGTAGTTAGCTAGCTGTATGTAATCTGCGTACTGGGTTCTACGGTAGACCAATGGTACCTTTTCTGCACTTGGCAAGGAATTCAGGTCCGGATCACCCACCCCGCCAGAGGCCCAACCAAGGTTTGATTGAATTGGGCAGCACCTCATTTGTTCAGTTCATCCCACTTGGTGTGATTATTTTGTGAGGGTTTGTTGGGATGGAACTACCAATCTACGATGATGTCGGCTACATGTGCACCAGTAGTGTAGAAATTGGGTATTTATTTTGGTTTTTGGTATTCGTTATGCCGAGGGGTGTCCCCAGTCGGCTTGGGTTATTCAAGTTCATGACAGTATATTTCCGTGGGATAGCATCAAATAATCCATCATCACGCCATTTATCTTCATCATTAAACGTTCCGCTTACAGCTTCTGCATGGCAGCCTGTTGGGGTTTCATTAGCATTATCACGACTCCCTAGGTGTTCATCTTTACTTACAACATCGGTGGACTGGACGTGGTCCTCGTCCTCCTCGATCTGAGCCTGGAGCTCATCAAGGGAGACCTTCTCGTCCTCAACGACAAGGTTGATCTGGAGCTTCTTGATACCGTAACCGACGGCAACAAACTTGGAGGCACCCCAGACAAGACCATCGATCTCAATGGCACGGACGTTGGCCTCCATAGTCTCAATGTCGGTCTCATCATCTGTAGCGAGTTAGAATCATACACAAGATCCAAAAATGGAAGATGGAACATACCCCAAGGCTTAACCTCAAGAGTCACGAGAGACTTGGCCACGGGCTTGGGCTTGGCCTCCTTCTTCTTCCTGTACTCAGCAAGACGAGCCTCACGCTCCTTGACGACCTCGGGGTCCTCCTCCTCCTCGTCGGAGCCGAAGAGGTCCATGTCGTCGTCGTCGTTGGCAGCCTTGGGGTTGGTGGGCAGCTCAGTGGACTCAGGGCCGTAGGCAGTGTAGGGCTTGGAGGCATCGCCGGGGAGAGTGGCGTGCTCAGCCTCGAAAGAGGCGATGTTCTTGTACCAGCGAGCAGCGTGGGGGTACTTCTCGGCGTCAGGGGCACCGGAGAAGGCCTTGAAGGTCACGACATCGGCCTGGGAAGGAGCATCGCTATATTCCAGTTAGCTTCATGCCACCATCATCGCTAGTGATTATATCCATGAACGACGGAAAACAAAAAGCAAAGAAGAATTTTTCCAAGTAATCAGAAACGCGATTGCTCGCAATTGTGTTTAATCTTGCAGCGGGGTCTTAAGCCGCCTCATAAACACGGACCAATTTCTTTTCATCATGCAAACAAGGAAGAATCTTTCACAAGGCACCAATGCTAAGGGGGGAGGGGGGGAAGGATCCCTAAAGGTGTGCCTTACCCAACAATGTAGCTCCTGGTAGCCAGGTAGTTGTTGGCAACTGAGGGGTACCATTAGTTACTGCTGAGAGCAGATTGGAAAGGGAAATGATAAAAAAGAGAGGGAAAATGTGAACATACGGGTGAGGCCGGCTTCGGAAGCGAGATCAGTGAAACCCATTGTGAATGTGTGTTTGGGGGATGTGTGTGGTGAGTAGAAGAAAAGAAGAAGAAAAGGAGGAATAAATAGGAGGGGAAAGGTGTTCTGAAGTATTTTTTCAGCGGAGGGTCCGAGTAGTGAAATTTTTCGGCGGCACCAAGTGAGCCCCTCATTCCGGCCGGTCATGTGACCCCACGGTGACGGAGCTAGCTGGCCCTCTTGGGGGAGCTTCCGCCACTCACCGTCCGCCGTGCGGTGGAGCCTTCGAGAAGCCTCGCGACGCCTGAGAGGCAATCGGCTGGCCGCCTGTCCCGGCGAGGTATATAGGTGCCCCCCAGCTATATCGGGAGCTCGACTGAAGATCTGCAGTGTTGTGCCATTTGTTTTCACACCCAACTGTGCATACGGTCGGTGTTTTGACCATGTCGTCAAGGTTACAACTCGCTCGGGGTCGGCTTCTCCGGCCATCCTCCCTACCGTCATCGAACCGCGTTCTTCAACCTTCTCAAGCATTGCGTCTACTTGCGCGCACCCGGATCGCGAATCTCGCCCGGCACCCGTCCGTCTTGCCTATACGCACTTATGCCAATGGCCGCCCTCATCCTCCCGGAGGTACACATCGCATGAACCTTGGTGGTGAACCAGAAAAGTCAGCCTTGGAACAGTTCGGTGTCGACCTCACAGCCAGGGCTAAGGCAGGCAAGCTGGACCCGGTCATTGGACGTGATGCCGAAATCCATCGCACCATTCAGGTTCTCTCCAGACGAACGAAAAACAACCCCGTTCTGATTGGAGCTGCGGGTACCGGAAAAACTGCGGTCTTGGAGGGTTTGGCACAGAGGATTGTTCAGGGAGACGTTCCAGATAGCATCAAGGACAAACGTGTTATTGCGCTGGATCTGGGTTCTCTCATTGCTGGTGCTAAGTTCAGAGGTGATTTTGAAGAGCGGTTGAAATCTGTTCTTAAGGAGGTCGAGGATGCGCAAGGGGGTGTAATCCTCTTCATTGATGAGCTTCATACCTTACTTGGCTTGGGAAAGGCGGAAGGCAGTATCGACGCCAGCAACCTTCTGAAACCGGCTTTGTCTCGCGGTGAGCTGCAATGTTGCGGTGCCACGACTTTGAACGAGTACAGATTGATTGAGAAGGACGTGGCTTTGGCTAGACGCTTCCAGCCTATCCAAGTCGGGGAGCCCTCGGTTGCTGCTACTATATCCATCTTGCGTGGTATCAAGAACAAGTATGAAGTGCACCATGGTGTCCGAATCACGGATGGTGCTTTGGTGGCGGCGGCAACTTACAGCAACCGGTACATCACGGATCGATTCCTTCCCGATAAGGCGATTGATCTGGTAGACGAGGCGGCGTCCGCCTTGCGACTACAGCAAGAATCGAAGCCCGATGTGATCAGAGAGCTCGACCGCGATATTACCACCATCCAAATTGAGCTCGAGTCGCTTCGCAAGGAGACTGACGTCAGTAGCCGCGAAAGAAGAGATAAACTTCAGGAAGACCTGAAAGTCAAACAAGAAGAAGCGAGGAAATTGACTGAGGTATGGGAGAAGGAGAAAGCAGAAATCGAAGAACTCAAGCGTGCCAAAGAGGAGCTGGAGCGTGCTCGTTTCGAATTGGAGAAAGCTCAAAGAGAAGGAAATTTTGCAAAGGCTGGTGAACTGAGATATGCCACCATTCCGAGTCTCGAAGCCAAGCTGCCTAAAGAGGGCGAAGAGCAAGCCACAAAGGCCCAGACTAGTCTCATTCACGACTCCGTCACCGCTGATGACATCGGAAATGTGGTCTCTCGGACTACTGGCATCCCTGTCAACAAGCTAATGGCCGGTGAGGTGGAGAAACTCATCAAAATGGAAGACACCCTACGCAAATCCGTCCGTGGACAGGACGAGGCTCTCTCCGCAGTTGCAAATGCAGTCCGCATGCAAAGAGCAGGCCTTAGCGGAGAGAATCGACCCCTCGCCTCGTTCATGTTCCTTGGTCCTACGGGTGTTGGCAAGACAGAGCTCTGCAAGAAGATGGCTGAGTTCCTGTTCTCCACGGAGACAGCTGTTGTTCGGTTCGACATGAGCGAATTCCAAGAAAAGCACACTATCAGTCGTTTGATCGGCTCTCCAGCCGGCTATGTTGGATACGATGACGCCGGTCAACTTACAGAGGCCGTGAGGAGGAAGCCTTACGCGGTTCTGCTATTCGATGAATTTGAGAAGGCGCATCGCGACATCTCTGCTTTACTGTTGCAAGTCCTTGATGAGGGGTTCCTCACAGATTCTCAGGGCCACAAGGTTGACTTTAGGAATACTCTGATTGTTCTAACGTCGAATCTTGGCGCCGACATTCTTGTAGGTGCCGATCCTTTGCACCCCTACAAGGAAGGTGGCGATAACGAGCTTTCGCCTGAAACCAAAAAGTCGGTTATGGATGTTGTACAATCGGCCTATCCGCCAGAGTTCCTCAACCGTATCGACGAGTTTATTACTTTCAAGAGGCTGTCCCGCGACGCTCTGAGGGATATTGTTGATATCAGAGTGAAAGAGCTGCAATCACGTCTCGACGACCGCCGAATGACTCTTCAAGTTGACGACGAGATCAAAGACTGGCTTTGCGACAAGGGCTATGATCCTAAATACGGAGCTCGGCCCCTCAACCGCTTGATCGCCAAAGAAATCGGCAACAAGCTGGCTGATAAGATCATCCGCGGCGAAGTCACGTCTGGGCAAACCGCTCGTGTCACGTTCAATGCAGACAATAGTGGACTTGCAGTAACAGCAGAAGCCCCGGTGGCAACAGAAACTGAAAGCTCATAAAATGGTTTTCCTTGCTCATGTTGATCTCCTTATCTTTGGGTATTGGCGCTATTGTCTGGAAAAGGTGTTTAGATGATGACCTTGTATGACTTGATCTCTACTCTTACTCATTGTATCATAGCATAATCTCTATTGTATCATATGTGACGACTAAATTGTATATATATTTATGTGTTGATCTCAATTACTATAGAATCTCCATTTCGTTGTTTTCCTCCGTGCTCTGATTCCCCGCGCTGTCACTTGATCTGGCTCAGTAATGCCGCTTTGAAGGCGTGTTCTTCCATATCACTCGGCTCATAGGACGCGCCTCTTAGCAGGCACTTGCTCAATCTGACAACAACCATCCATGCGTTATGGAGCCACAAACGAAGAGAAAGCGTACGACATATCCCTCACACGTCGAGTCTTTCAATACCTGGTCCAACCATGACGACCTTCTCCAATCGAGGTTTTCAAGCAACTTGCCGCCCACTTCGCAAAAAACACTAAGAGCAAGAGCATCTACCTCCAACGATACTGAGCTTTATCGATCTGGAAGTGGTCTGTTTGAGCACACCGTCGATGACGAACTTGAACAAGTTGTAGTGGCAGTGGATGTGAGAGATTCGGGTACCGTCGGCTGTTCCTATTATTCTGCGTTGGAAGAGAAGCTATACCTCCTAGGCGATCTACGCTATTCCACTAAAGAGATTATCGACAGTTGTTTGTCTGATCTTCCCCATTCCGTACTTCGGCGGCTAACGAGTTTGAAGTGATCCTCCAGACGAAGCCTACAGTACTCTTGATATCTCCTCGTGTGGATCCAAACAACCTCCAAGAAAGACCGTGGCCTGAACGAAATAGCGGTTGGTGGAGCATACTTTGTTGTCTTGTTAGATTTGAACATATCTGATATTCGCAGATACACTCTCCTATGTGCCCTACCAACTCGAAGTCCGTCCATCGCAAGAATTCAACTTTTCCAACGCAAAAACCAGATTGATTGCTTTGGATATATCCTCAAGGCATGAGCATCGCATTAAGTTCTTAGTGCCACACAGTGGGTTTGTTGATGGGGAACAATTGGATGCCGAGAATCTGGACCTCACTTTGCAGGAAGGCAAGCTTTTGAATGTGTACGGTTCCGTCGATATGGAAAACAGTGTGACGATTGGATGCGCCGGTGTCATTCTCGCTTATTTACAAAGGCGTCGGGCGTCCATGTCGATATCCAACGATAGAGCCTCGGGAATCCTCAGAGTATCATCTGTGGAAATGTTCGCTCTAACTGGAACTATGTAAGCCTTCGTTTTCCTCAAAACAGATAAACGACCTATTTACAACGGAGCAGGTTTGTCAACGGCAGAACCTTACTTTCGCTCCAAATTATGGAGTCCGAATCCCACCCCAGTATGGTGAATCATGGGCCAGGAAGGAAATCTACTTCATCAAAAGAAGGGCTATCGGTTTATGGCCTGTTCCAGCGCTTTGCATGTACACCCCAAGGAAGGAACCAACTGAAGCAGATGTTCCTTCGTCCGAGCGTGGAACTTGACGTTATCAACGAGCGGCATTCCTTCATTGGTGTGTATCTTAGGACTGACAATTTTAATCCTTTCGACAAAATGGTCAAAGGCTTGAAGCATATTAAGAACCTCCATTATGTGATGATTAATCTTCGAAAGGGCATCAGTACCGGAAGCGGGAAGATTATGGGTTTCAAGGCGACTGTGTGGGCTACTTTGCTGGCCGTATGTCATAATATTCTGATTGTGGTGATGCCTGGCTAATATGGCATAAGTTTGCCTTTTATGGCATCGACATTTACGACGCTTTGCGAGAGACTTCGGGTGGGACTAACCTAGCTTTACATAGCAAGGTTCTACTCAAATATCGCTGTTGCAAGAATCAGCTAACTATGTTGCAGGCGCTCCGTGCTTTTGAGGCAGCTCAACTGTACAAAGTCGGCAGAATGATACAAGAAATGGTATGCATAGCACTCATTCCCGATCTCAACCTATCCTGACTATAGAAGGTCGACATTGATAGCTCTGAGGAACAAGGCAGAACGGTTGTGAAGCCTGGAATAGACAGGGACTTAGATCGGATCAAAGACAGATATGACGGCCTGAACAGCCTTTTGAAGCAGGTTGCGATAGAGATAGCAACTACCATCCCCGAGAGTTACGATATAGATGTCAATGTCGTTTACTTCCCGCAACTCGGCTTCAACATTGCAATCCCACTGAATAATGCGGGAGACGCCGCTTACAGAGGCGCCGAAAATGAGTGGGAGCTTATGTTTTTCACAGAAAACAGAGCTTATTTAAAGGACTTCAGGATGAGGGAGATGGATGACAAATTAGGTGACATCTACGGGATAATCTGTGGTTTGTCTTCGGCTCTTAATGCACTTTTGTGGACAACGCAGCTGATAACCTAATAGAGAGGGAGATTGAGATTGTTTACGACCTTGCACAAAGGGTACTGCAGTATGAAAAAGTCCTTTTGGAGGCATCAGATATATGTGGGCAAATAGACAGGTAAAAGATAGGTCTGAACGATTGATGCAGTTATCTCACTTTGTGATAGTCTACTTGCAATGGCTCATGCAGCTAGCTCCTACAAGTTGGTGCGACCTAAGATGGTGCAGGAAGATGTTATCAAGATCAAGGGTGGCAGGTAAGACAGCTGGCGCGCACATGTGCCCAGAAAGCTAATTTAAAAAAAGACATATCCTACAAGAGCTGACAGTCTCGTCTTATGTGCCCAATGATACCTATCTAATTGGCAGAAGGACACAGAGAGAGTCGTTGGAACCAATCTGCTCAACACTCAAGCCATACGAGAATGAGTGTGAACCAAGCATGCTACTACTTACAGGACCGAATTACTCTGGGAAGAGCGTTTACATGAAGCAGGTGAGCTTCTACTCTGGCACCAATGGAAGCTAGCTGATGAGGTGCTATGCAGGTAGCTCTCATCATCTATCTAGCGCAGGTGGGAAGGTATGCAACACCTGGCCCAAGATAATCAAAGCTATAATACTCAGCATAATAGCTTTGTCCCAGCTGAAAGCGCAGAACTTGGGATCATCGACAAAATCCTGGTCAAGTCGAACACTCAAGATAGCGTCTCCCAAGTAAGTTGGTGAGCCGTCTATCATACTTAAAATCTAATTTCTTGCACGCAACCCAGATACAAAGTACCTTCATGAACGATCTGCAGCAGCTATCATTTGACCTGAAGCAGGTAACCGGCCATAGTCTGCTGTTGATAGATGAGTTCGGTAACGGCACCAATGAGAATGGTTCGTATACCAACAACCTCGAATGTCTAGCCAGAAGCTGAAACTCTTAGATGGAATCGGACTGGCATGCGGAGTCCTCGAGAACATACTAAACCGTGAAGATGCTCCCAAAGTCATAGCTGCAACGCATTTTCATGAGATTCTCGCAAACGAGTACCTCAAACCCAGGCAGCAGTTACAGCTCGGCCACATGGAAGTCCGAGTGCATGAAGAACCCGGTGAAGCTGAAGATCAAATTACTTATCTTTATAAGTATAGCGCCATTCTCGCACTGCACTTATAAGCAGGAAGTACTAAGAGACATGGCATAGTTTCCGCACAGGACGAAGCGATCAAAGCTTTGGAACAATGTGCGCTCCTTTTCTCTACGGGGGAATCAAGAATCTATGGACAATTCCCTGACTGAGCACGATACAGATGCGCTGCAATGAACGGAATCAGCCAGACTATCGTCGATCGAGCAAACGAAATTGCCGCACTATCTGCCCGTGGTGAAAATCTGATTGCCGCTTGCGCTGTGCTTTCGACTCAAGAGACGCAGGCTCTGGAAGATGCAGTAGGATATATGCTATCTGTTTGCTTCTGGTCCTCTGTTGAGATTGCTAACGGGGTCTTGCTTGAAGGACAGATTAGCGAGAGAGTTCCTGTCGTTGGATCTTTCTGAGGCTTGTGATGTTACTAAGTTGGTGAGGGATAGGCTGGAGAGAATGTTCGATGGTTCTGGTGCGGGTCCTTGACTGCCACGTTACTATAAATTTTTACCCGTTGAGGTTCAGTTATGATGCCGTGAAAGGTCGGAACGTAATGAAGTTCGCCACATTGGCAACTGCAGAGTGCTACTACTAGTACTCCTACCACTAGCACCTGGTCGGAGTATTCGTCGCTTTCATTAAGTTGTCTTTATGAGATTGTTCTATACTACTCGGTTACAATTACTGATGGACGCTAAATCCAGCAAACCCAGAATTGAACAGTCAGACAAAAGTTTGTATCATCGAGTAGAAGATTATCTATATACACACAAAGACCCATTTTCGCACACATTGAACGCCAGTAATGTATGTCTCCAACTGTGCTACCGCAGTACCAAGAAACTGAACCAGAAGAACTAGAATCAGAGCTTAACACTCTTGACCACGTTCTTCTTGATACCCGTAAGTTCACCACCATATCCACCACGACCTTCACCACCCTTGTACACCTGGCGAATACTGCCGAGCTTCTTCTTCTTCTCCTCGTATCTCTTTCTCTTCTTGACACGAGGGTTGCGAGAGTCCTTGCTACGCTTAGGCGCAAGACCCTTGTTCTTCTCGATCTGGTAGGTGATAGCACGCTTGCCATCGGGGCCGACTTCTTCCTGGATCTCAACGTGGCCGCCTTCACGGGCGGCCGCAGCGTAGGCGTCAGCGCGCGCCTTCTTGTCGTCCTTGCGCTGCTTGCCGCGAGCCGCGACCATGTCGTAGTAGTCGTCATCGTCAGATCCTTCGTCGCCGCGGAGCTGCTTGGCGACCCGGTGGTCTTCGTCGTCACTGTCGCCGCCCAGCTGCTCGGAGTCCTTCAGTTTCTGTTTACCACGTCTCTCGGCTTCGGCGTTCAGGCGGGCTTGGCGGTCCCTTAGACGCTCACGGTAAGGAAGATCTGCATCACCACCTGCGTCACGACCGGCTGCGTTACGCTTGTTGGCTTTCTGTGCGAGTTGAGATGTGTAGAAGCGGAGAGAACGCTTCTGCTTGGCCTTCTCTTCGGCTTCCTTGGCTGTGAGGGCGTCTTCGTCACCGAAGTCGGAGTCGTCGGCTTCCTTGGTCGATTTGGTCTTCTGGGCGGCTCGTTTCTTGCTCGATCCGGAAACGAGCTTCGATAGATCGGCCAGGTTGGCTTCGGTCTGCCGGAGTCGCTCTGCTCGCCGAGCCTCTGCCTCGGCTTGTGCTGCCTCGGCTGCGCGTTGTGCCTTGGATACCTTCTCTGTCTTCTTCTTGTTCTTCTTGGAAGTTTGCTCCTCCTTGCCCTTGCTCTTTTGCTTGGCCGTAGGTGCGTCGGACATGATTTCATCAACTTCGGAGTCATCCTCGGCTTCTGATGCCTCCGGCTCGGGTTCACTAAGGTTCTTGACGGTCTCCCAGAGTTTCCTGAACTTGACTAGGGATCCCATTATTGGGTGGGCTCGTAGCTGAGCAGGCGATAGCGGAGCAGGCTTGCCGGAGTCGTCGGTGGAAGAGGTCAGGAGCATAAAGTACATGCCGATCGTACCAAGGTAAGCAGACAGAGCGCGGAACTTGACAACTGCAACAGGTGCGGAATCCGGGGCATCTTCGGAGTCATCGTTGGCATTGAAGCTCCGAGCGGCCTTGGCGAGGGCCTGATGCGTGGACTGAAGGTCGGCAAAGTCTTTCGCTAGGGGTTCGAACTCGGGATATCTGGACTTGAGTATCTTCAACTTCTCCTCTTCGCTCATATCCTCCGTAATCTCCAGTTGTGGTAGAACCTCTGTCACCTCACCGCCATCCCCCGCATCCTTCTGGTCCTTGCCGGATTCAACCCATTCAGATTCGTCAAAGCCAAAGTCTTCCTCGTTGATGGCCTGCAGATGCTTCTGCTGAAGTCGCTTGGCTTCTTCCTCCTCCTCAAGAGCGTCTGCTTCCGTTTCGATCTGATCCGCACTGTAAAGGTCCTTCTTGGACGAACCCCAAGCGGCGATACCTTCCTCGTCGTCTTCAGATCCCGGACTGCCGCCGCGCTTCGACTTGGATTTTGACTGAACACCATCCATGTCATCCTCATCGTAGTCGTCGCCTTCGTCAAGGTCTTCCTCATCATCGAGATCTAGATCGTCTTCATCGTCGTCGTCGTCCTCGTAGCCCATGATCTCTTCGTCCGATGCCTGGAGAAGTTCCTCTAGAAGCATAAACCTGTTAGTTAAGCATACCCACAGCATGCGCTTTGTACAACGAACCTTCCTCAGCCACTCTCCGACGTCTCTTCGCTTCCGGCGCCTCTTCTAGTAGGATTTGGTCGCGACCAGTCTGGAACTCATCCTCCGAATCATCGAATCGCTCCTCGATGTGGAATTTGGACGGACCATGCTTGTCCGCCTTGGGGGCCGCAGGGCGACCGCCGGCCTTTCTTTTTTTACCCATGATAGACTGTGTATGAGGGTATGAGAGAGAGAATTGCTAGTTCGGACTAAATCCTCCGCAGCGAATCGATAAACTTTCGCAATAAAAATTTGGGAGGGACACTCTCACCGCCCGGCAGACACTAGCCTCAGTTGGGTGTTTGCACCGTTTGGCGGGTCTCATGTTCCGCGGAGGATCACGCCTTCCTATCCGGAACTGTTCCTATCATCTTTCCCAAAAAGCAACAAGATCCCGCTGCATTCTCTCAAAATCGGCCATTGTCCTCGAACAGGAAGCTTCGAACAGCCCCAGACATCTTCTTCCTTTCTCTCCCCCCAATCTCACTTCTCTTTCTTTCCTATGCATTCTCTGATACCCACCATCTTTTACAACTCTTCCCCGACGACGCTGGGAATTTATACCATTCTTTGCGGACTATTCCTATACTCTGCTAGCAAAATGTTCGGCTTTGGTCGTAATCAGTTCGTCGTTCAGGGCAGGGTATGTTTCCATTGTCGCCTCCCATATTTTTTGCCCTTGGCATAGTTGGCTAACCTCTTCTTTAGACCGTCGTTATCACAGGCGGTTCGGAGGGGATGGGCAAGGCCGTGGCTTGCCAGCTTGCAGAGAAGGGTGCAAATGTTGTGCTTGTCGCACGCACGGAGTCGAAGCTCCAGGATGCCCTCGAGGCTGTCAAGGTAAGTAGAGCCTCGGTTCTTTGGAAAAATCTCAGCTAACTCTCAATTCTCTTGAAGGGTACGGCGGCTGAAGCCGACCGGCAGAGATTCCACTACATCTGTGCGGACCTGACCAATGCTGCGGAGTGTGACCGTGTCATGGCCGAAGTCACCGAATGGAACCACGGACAATCTCCCGATATCGTATGGTGCTGCGCAGGATACTGCAGCCCCGGCTTCTTTGCCGAGACCCCCGTCCAGACATTGAGGGACCAAATGGATACGGTGTACTGGACAGCTGCCAACACTGCTCATGCAATCTTGAGACGGTGGCTAGTACCTATAAGTCCCAGCCAGCAGATGCCGCTACCTCCCAGACATCTTATCTTCACATGCTCTACCCTCGCATTTGTGCCCATTGCTGGTTATGCTCCTTACTCGCCGGCCAAAGCCGCGATTCGCTCATTGTCTGATACTCTCAGCCAAGAAATTGAGATGTACAACGGTTCTCGCGCCGACAAGTGCCGCTCGGAGGCTCCAGCCACGGACGTGAAGATCCATACAGTCTTCCCCATGGGCATTCTCAGCCCTGGATTCGACAACGAACAGAAGCTCAAGCCGGAGCTTACTAAGAAGCTGGAGGCTGCTGACAAGCCACAGACTCCGAGGGAGGTTGCAAACATTGCGATCAAGGCCCTGGAGAGGGGCGAGTACATGATCACCACGATGTTCGTTGGCGATGTGATGAAGGGATCAGCGCTCGGAGGCAGCCAACGCAATTCATTCATTAAGGATACCTTCACTGGCTGGCTCAGCAACTTGTTGTTCCTGCATGTCAGCCCCGATCTCAGGAGGCAGGCCTGGAGCTGGGGTGAGAAGCACGGCGTTCCATCTCGCCCGAGAGAGTAATCAATGGGGGTCTTCTATGCTTTGTGTGCCGTCGTTTGGTGTATGCGTTAGATACCCTGAGCGTGTCTTATCTTTATCCTTATGACCATTATTATGTTCGCTAGAGTATTATGTACTGAAAAAATCCGATTGATCATCATTTCAAGGTCACCACTGTTCCACTGTCTTCATGTTTTAGCTTGATGGCCAGACTCCATAAGCTGTACTGTAACTCGGAGCTCGGTGCAGGGATTCGAAGCGTCTCTACATGGAGAGATGCAGTCCAATAGGGATGCAGTAGAAACCGAACGATGCCTTTGAGGCTTCTGGCAAGACTGAAACCTTCAACGAATGTTTGGATGGCTCCTTTGTTCGCGGCCGAAAATAGCCGCGGAGTCGACAAAGCGAGGCTCCAGTTTAGGGCTAGTGGGTCGTGACGTTGGGCGGCTGCTGCAGGCACTTTGCTGTTCCATTGTTCCTGCGGCTGTCTTTCACCTCGACAGCCACAAAACTTCCTTCTGCTTTGCGCCCTTGTCTCCGGTCTCACTATATAAGATGCGCTTGCGAAAGCATGCAAGGTGACACTAGATACTGTGATCGCGCTGCCGAATCGTTACATTTCAGAAGCCTCAACACCTTCCGATCGCCGTCGACATCATGAATCGGGTCTTGGCTCTCCCAGCTCTGTTCTTTTGCCTCTTCACCTACACCCCCTCCTACACCACCTTCAACTTAATCTTCTTTTACATGACATGGACGACTCTCATCCTGTCGCATTCCCCATTTAAGGTAGAACTGTTCGGCTCCATAGGCGTACGACTGCTGTTCTACATCCTCCCCTCGGCGCTGCTCTTTCTATTCGATGCGCTTGTCCCCTCCGCCGCCGTACTGCTCAAGGCGCATGGTGAACAGGGCCTACCGACAGGAAGCAAGAGACGAGGAGTTCGAGTTCGAGAGTTTAAAGTCGCAGGATGGTCATTCCTCAACATTTTCATAAGCATCGCCGTGCAAGCTGCCATCGAAACTCTTCGCATCGGGTATTTCAATACGCGCAGTGCCCTCAAAGTATCCTTTACGATCCCTATCATACCTTGGAACATTGCCTTTCATCTCGCTTGTGTCCTACTACTCCGAGAGGTAAGTCCTATTTCGAAATGCCCACACTTCCCAGTGTTGGCGATCGCCCGTAACAACACTCACTAATCACGCGCGCGCACAACTTCCAGATCCTCGCATACACCATCCACCGCTTCGTCCTCCATAATGACAAATACCGCATCACGCGCTACATCTCCTCCCTCCACCAAACCTGGTACCATTCGCTTCACGCGCCCTACCCTTCCACCGCCCACTACGACCACCCTATTCCCTACCTCCTCGGAAATACCGTCCCCACATTACTCCCCGCTGTATTCCTCCGCCTCCACATGATCACCTACGCCATGTACTTGAGCATTGTCTCGCTGGAAGAGACTCTAGCATACTCGGGATACTCTGCCATGCCGATGGACTTCTTCCTCTTGGGCGGGATCGCTCGTCGAGTCGAGAAGCATCTGCTGAATCGCGCGGCGGGGAATTTCGGCCCGTGGGGTATTGCGGACTGGTTCTGTCAGACTACGATTGGGGATGAAGAGGGTGAGGTGCTGATAGCGGACACAGAGGATGATGAGGATGAGCCTACACCTGTTCTTAGGGGGAAGGAGATCTTTGAGGCCAAGGTGCAGGAGGCGTTGGATTCGCATGCTAAGAAGACGCAGAGGAAGCATAGGAAGAAGTTGAAGCAGAACTTGTGAGTTGTTTTGGTGGGGAAATATATATTTCGTTGATATGTATATCGTTGGTGTGTGGGGTTGGTTGGTTAGTTGGTATGTGTTTATGGGTCTTGTATCTTATGATGTGATGCTATTTCTGATGTTATGTACGCGCAATGGGTGATATAGACTGGCAGGGAGTTTGGTTCGACATGGTTGGGTTGGGTTGGACTTGGTCTGGTGTTTCATAGACGAGCTGCTTTCTATCCATTACTTTCTAAATGTTATCGTTATCAGTGTGAAATGTGAATAAGCATGTGGGGCTGGGGTCGAAATCGGAATCCCGGCAATGTCTTTGCCAATAGCAGATAAGTAGTAGATAGTCGATACACACACAAATACTATGCCATCATACATCATGGTAAAGAATGATCAACTACAACTTGATCTACCGCGGAGGAACAGTAGTGGATCGTTGATATAGTAAAATGCCCAATTCTTTTGATATTTTCCGCCCGAACCTGATATTGAAAGAAATTGGAATAGTCGTAGTGAACAGAGTGTAGTAACATAAAATTGAACAGCTGGAAATGGTATTCTTCTTTTTTTCTTTTCATTTCGGCTCAAAGTTATCGACTGCAAGAAGGGGGTGTGAAACGGCCAGAATTGCTGGAGGAAGACAGTTCAGTTTTGAGGGAGATCAAGTATGAAATAACAACCGGTTTTTCCTTTCCTTTTTTAACCTCGGCATTAAAAAAACCGCAATCCTAAGCAAACATGAGGCTCGAATCGAGTTACATATACTTCATGAGCTGTTTCCTCCTGCGACCCCCCTTTCCTTTCGCAAGTGCCGGTTGTGGAGTTCGACCAGTTGCTTGCAAAAGATTGAAAGGGGGTTCTAGCCGCCGCCCCTCGCAGGACTCCTCCACAATAACTACCGAACCCGCGGCCGCCGCGTCACACATCTACCACTTCATCTCGTGGGGCTTGTCGCCGTTGCGGAGGCTGAAGGTGCTGGCCAGGTAGCTTCCGAGGAAAGCCTCCTTCTTGACGGAGGCGAGGATGGACTGGTCAACGGCCTTCTGGTCGCTAGCGCGAGCGCTGGCAACAACCTTCTTCTGTTGATGGAGAAAAATCGCTATATCAGTATCATCCGGCCACTTCCGCAAAAGTCGGACTCTTCTCGAAGGAAGAGCCCAACCACGGGTGTGTATGTGCACATACCTGGGGCTTCTCTCCCTGCTTGAAGAAAGCCTCCTCGGTCTTCTTCTCAGCCTTCTTCTCCTTGGTGAAGTAGTCGGCAGCGGAGACCTTCTCGATGGTCTGGGCGTCAACACCGCTGATGTCGATACGGGTGCTGGTGGCGATCACGTAACGAGCGTTGACACGGCGGAGGGGAACACCGTTGATCTTGAAGGGACCGGTGACGAGGAGAACACCCTGCTCGAGGTGCTTGAGGAGAACGACACGCTTTCCACGGAAGCGGCCGGCGAGGAGGATCAGAACGGTACCGGGCTGGAGGCTCTCGCGGACCTTAGCGGGACGGATAGCCTTGCGGACCTATATGTATATAAAATAACCATGTCAGAATGTCTGTTCCAATTCCTTCTTGTCCATTTCGAATTCCGGGGCCCCAATTTCTCCAAGATGCGATTTCCTTATCAACTCATGCGGTATAGAGCACTGGCCCTGAATCTTTGATTTTCCCCCAAATCTCCACCTTTTTTTTATAGAGGAGGTTCAATCTTTCCCAATGACCAGCGCAAACCCGTCGCATTTGTTCATAACGAAACCGCATCCTTTTCCACCTCATTTTCTGGCTCTTGCACGGGGTGTGGTACTGACTTTCTTGGGCTGCGACTCGTCATCAACGGGGTACCATTTCTGGGCCTTCTGGGCCGGGTGAGGGACGGTCCTCTGGCCCTTTCCAAACTGCTTCGTCTGGCCAACAGTAGAGTCCGACATATTGGCTGCTGGGGACGAAGGTGGTCTGAAAAGAATGTAGGGGGAGGGTGGTGGTTGTCGACGGCGGGTGGTTGTTGGAGTTGATGTGTGACTTGCTACTTGCGCCCCAGGACGGGAAAGTGTGAGTTTGTGTGGACGCGAGCCCTAGCCGAAAGGCGCTAGTGCCGATTCGGCGCCCCTTGATAGCGATAGCCCGATAACCGCTGCTTTGGTGGCCTCAGGCAGGGAACGTGTCTTTTTTGCCGTCCGCCTTTCCGGTCACCCGTAGATACCAGTCCCGCAGAAACCCAAGCTCCCTCCATTCTTCATCACGTTACTTGCCCGACTTGTTTGCGGGCGACGAACTGACGTACATTACTGCCTCAGCTTCTTCTTCCGTCAGTCCACAACCTACACTGTCTTTGCCGCATCGTTAGTGTGCGCCTATCATCAAACTTCTAGCCTAGAGAATTTGTCTATATTTTCAACACTCTTTTTTTTTGCTACCTTCCATTAGCCTACACCAGATTACACCATGTCTATAGCTCCGATTATTACCTTCAAAGCGGGTATCTGTGACCTCGAGGTTAGTTGGATATGAAGCTTTCCCCCACCCGCCACTGTCTCATTGCATTTCTATCAACACGTTACTCACTACATTTGTTTGTTTTTTGATAGACGTCCGGTGAAACCTCCGTCGTCAAGCCCAAGCCCACCCCCGGTTACATCTACCTCTACTCCGAAGATGAGCTGGTACACTTTTGCTGGCGCCCCAGATCTGCTCCCCACACGGAACCCGAGCTCGACCTGGTAATGGTTCCCTCCGATGGATGCTTTGTGCCTTACAAGCCTGTCGACTCTACAGCACCTACCAATGGCCGTATCTACGTCTTGAAGTTCTCCTCCAGCTCCCAACGGTACCTCTTCTGGCTGCAGTCCAAGACTCAGCACGAGGACGGAAACCCGAGCTGGTTCAGCCAAAGAGATCTTAAGCTAGGAGAGATTGTCAACGGACTACTTCAGGGTGAAGATGTTGATGTAGAACATGAGATCGCCAACCTTCCTCGAGGTGGTCCTTCGGGCGGCGATGACGACGAGACTATGGAAGATGTTGAAGGCGTGGACCATGACCCGAACCACAACCACGGAGGAAACAGTGGAGGAGCAGGCCCGGATGCGACTGGCGGTGATGTTCGGGCGGAAGGCCAAGGATCGAGGGAGGGTGGTGCCGATGGTGGAAGAGCGTAGGTACATATCTCGACAGTTTTATTTGTCTCTAGTCTTGAACTTTACTAGCCGGGATATTCAATATGCTCGGATATTTTGGTCACGATTATAGGCGTTCCTTTCCATGAATTCAAGCTAACCAGCATCTTTTGGCTCACAGGGCCGCCGCTGACTCGGATCCTTCATCTGTCGTGCAGAGCTTCCTGCAGTCATTGCATGGGGGCTCACGGCAATCCCAAGACCCCGAGAGACCTTTCACTACTCTGCAAGATCTACTTACAACCTCGACTACATTGCCTTTCCTGGAATCTGCGGACGAAAAAGCGGTTGACAATCTCCTGAGCTTCCTGCCACCATCGCTGCTTCTCCTGGCACAGGACAATGATCTCGACGAAGCCGCGGCAGCTGATCAGGACCCGGACATTGCTCAAGCCGCCCTGGGATCCCTCGAACTGACGCAAAAGAAAGAGATTCTGCGCAAAGTTCTACACTCACCTCAATTTGCGCAGAGTCTAGCAAGCTTGACGATGGCCATTAGGGATGGTGGATTACCGAGCATCAGCGAGGCCCTAAAAATTCCGGTTGCAAATGGAGGATTCATGCGTAGAGGGGGAGTTCCGTTGGGTGGTGGTGATGCTGTTGAAGCATTCCTTCAAGGCGTTCGGGATCATGTTAAGGATTCGGCTCAAGGAAACCGTATGGACACCGATTGATTGGTTCCAAATAGCAGTGATTATGTTATGTTGACAGGGTTCTTTTTTTTACTTTCTTATCTCTTTTTTACTATTATTATCTTCAGCCAGCCATTCTGTAACTATCCACTGATGTTTTAGAAATCCATTAGCGGCCTTGCATGGATGTCTCATTCCCTCCTTAGCAGAGAGAGACTTGTCATGGGTTATTTTTGGCATGAGGTGGGTGGGGTAAAAAGGCCAGTGGCCAGTACTAGGCAGCATGATAATACTGGTAATCTTAATACCGTTAATAATAATGTGTCTTGGTTGTGGCGTATGGCGGACTCCGCCCGTTAATCTCAAACAGAATCAAGAAATAAAAAAGAAAAAAGTAGGGGAAAAAAGTTTCCGACTCGATGATCTCTTCCTCCACCATGGAAAAAGAGGTGGGACAGGTATCAAAGGCATTGCCGTATCGGGAGTAGACATAACTGATCCTGTCAGGGACCAAAGCAAGTCAAGTCAGTCCGTACTAAGATACATCATGGGGGGGCACGCATATTCCCCTCCCGGGCGCAGCAGGGGGAAAATCCCAGCTTCAGACCCCGTTCCATCCCAGAGCCATCCATATCCACCCTCAATTATTGGCCGTGTGTCGAACGAACTCGACCCGGACCATTCATAAGGCTCGGACGTTTAGCAATCACTGGGCCAGAGAGCCTGGCCAATGGGCCATACAGAAGCCGCCGCTGCCGAATCCGCCCCAGTTTTGGCCGCTTTGGCGCCGTCCAGCCAAAGCTCCGCTGCGCATACCGAGCAATAATAATCATCACTGTGATCTGGAAGTCGACACGTTTGGGTTCCTTTCCCCATCATGCCCGCTGCTTCTTGACGGCTGCCTGGCTTGATTGGATCCTTGCCCACGTTTCCGCACGGGGTGCCACCGCTAACTTAACCAGAGTTCGTCAGCCCTTTCGTACTACTTTAACTTACTTAGGGAGTCTGTCCCATATTTTCCCCAGCGCGCTTTTACTTTGCCTCGGTCGTCAACGCTCCCCAGGGCCCTTCTGATCATCTCTTTTTCTTCTGGAACAGCCTGCGATGTCTGCCTTCGGTTAGCACTCTGACGACTGCCCACCATGGCTTCAAGTAGCCATGACCGCGGCCCCGACGACGATAACTTCCACATCGGTCACTCAATCCCCTTGCAGGATCTCTCATCGCCAGACCATGAACGTGGAGGCCCAGGTGGTGTTGCGACAAGGCTGGGCCGATCTTTGACCGGTAGGGGTCGGACGGGGAGAAACTATGAGCGCATAGCGGTGGATTCACCCGTTGAAACGGCCAATGCGGCGGGCAATGCGCGCCCGCATCCTCACATTTCCCATGAAGAAGATGAAGAAGCAATCGAAGATCCGGAGGCGTTTGCTCAAGCAACTTCGTTCGGTCTCAGCTTTGATCCCTCGCCCCGTACCTCTCTTGCCCCGACGCATAGTCGAGCACCCTCCAGCGTCGACCTAGATACCGTGCCGCTCGACGGAGCCGAACACTACCTCGCCCACATCGACACCTACAATGACACCGCACGATTGACGGAAACCCAAAACGTCCAGCCCATAAGCGGAGCATCCGGCTCAGACAATGAACATCAGAACGATCGGGGCGGCACAAGATCGGTTCAATTCCCTGCTACCAGCCATTCGGGGTCACGATTGGGTGATGATCTACACAATCTGGAGGGTGGTTTCGTGGGGAGATCCCGCGGGGGAAGCAATGCAGCGGACAGGTCGCGATCGCTGTCCCCCTCGGCCTCGGGATCTGCCTTGTTGCGGGCCAGTTCCATGATGAAGTCCATGTCCCAGCGTATTGTTAACCTTAGTAACGAACCAGAAGTGGTAGAGCAATCAATCCTCAGGGAGGAATCGCATAAGAATGCGCGAATGGAAGAGCCCCCAGTACTTCCATCTTTGCCGGACTATGCGCATGATGCGCCGTCTACCACTTCATTGAACAGTTCAGCTCCTAGAGAGAAACTGCCCTCGAGCAATAAGGCATGGCGCGGTATTAGCAATCCTTTGAGAGGGAAGTCGCTGGGTATCCTAGGCCCAGATAATGCTCTGCGGATGTGGTTGTGTGATATACTCGTCCACCCGTTCACAGAACCCTTCATTCTGATCGTGATCGTGGTCCAGACAATTTTGCTGACCATTGAATCTGCACGTTCTGTCTGGAAATATCCCCGCGCTGTCCGTTGGGGAGCCAATCCCATGGATTATCCCTACTTTGCCATCTTCATTATCTACACGCTCGAGATTATCGCCAAAATCCTTGTGTCAGGATTGATCATCAACCCTGCCGAATACAGCACCATAGACCGGTCGATGGGCTTCAGGAAAGCAGTGGTCGAGAAAGGGAAGAACCTGATCATACCACAGCGGCAGTTCTCAGTGCGGAAGTCTGCCATGTCAGAACAACCCCAAGCCTCCATTATACGAACTTTTACGGGCGGCTTGAATCAGTTGGAGAATCAATTGGCCGATGACCCTCTTCAGAAAAGTCGCGTGCGACTGGCTCATCGTGCGTTCCTGCGACACTCATTCAATCGGCTCGATTTCGTCGCCTTAGTATCGTACTGGGTCTCCTTCTTCCTCTCGATATACGGAGTCGAAACTCGCCAGCAGCTCTATGTTTTCAGCATGTTGAGCTGTCTTCGAATTCTTCGTCTCTTGAATCTGACCAATGGTACTTCTGTAAGTTTTCCGCCGAATACTCTTAGCCACGTCGTTCACTGACATCAGAGACAAGGTTATCCTCCGCAGTCTCAAGAAAGCAGCACCCTTGCTTGCGCACGTAGCGTTCCTTATCGGATTCTTCTGGCTCCTGTTTGCTATCGTCGGCATCCAAAGCTTCAAGTCAAGCCTTCGGAGAACCTGTGTCTGGCTTGGCGTTGATGGCGAAAGCGATTACGCACAGAATGATCCAAATGGCTCTTTACAGTTTTGTGGAGGCTACCTCAATTCGACCACTAAACAACAAATGCCATGGATTCAGAAGGATAATACTCCGAGTTCGTCTTCTCCGAAAGGCTACATCTGTCCTGCAGGCTCTATTTGTCTTGAAGGAGACAATCCCTACAATGGGACGTTAAGTTTTGACAACATCGTGAATTCGCTGGAGCTTGTGTTTGTAATTATGAGCTCGAACACATTCACCGACCTACTC